TATGTAGTTGAATAGGAGTTCATTTCTCCTAAAACTTTTTCAACTGCACAGTACTACATATTACATGTAGTATATGATGATGTCAGTAATGTCTAGGCCTATAGCTTCCATTCAATATGCGTTTGTGCACTGATGTTGGCTTGATTAAAGAATCAGAAGTTTATCATGTTAGTTCATGTAACTTGTGGAATGGAATATCCTTGTTTGTTCCCATAGGGCAAAAGATCAAGTCCACCCCTCTATCACCAGCAAGATGGTTGGGGGCATTCTCCAGGAATCTGCCCATCATTGCTGGCCACAGAATCAACCATCAGCAAGAAACCAACAGCAATGCCCTGCATCATCATCACATCAGACACCATCAACGTGCCTCAACAAACAACCCTCAATACAGTGTCCAGCGCTGCTGCCGATAGTTCAACAAGGACTCCAGCCTCCCTTGTCCCTACATCTCAGCATTGCAGACTGGAGGTGTTCTCCTGCTTTATAAAGGCAGGGGTTCAAAGAATAGATCCCTGTGCGATACAACTGCCTACCAGTGGCAAGGTCATCCTAGGGAGTGGTGCCTTTGGAACTGTCTAGCAAGAAACCTTCCATGGAACAAGAGTGGCCATCCAATTCATCAGGTCAAAGACAGACTTCCAGTCCTGAGGGAGGCGAGAGCAATGGGCCTTTTTTCAGGGCATCTGTCTTTTCCATGTTTCTTTGGCCTGGTAGTGGCTGGCCATCACCAAGGATCGACTCGTGATGGATCACCAGAAACTCCATTATGGGCCAGTTGCTGACCTTGACGGATGCCCTGGAAGGGCCCAGCTGACTACATCTTGCCCCATCGTCCAGGCACCGCATCGTGCTGGATGTGTTGGACGGTCTGCGATTCATAACGACCTTAAAACTGATAACATTTTGGTCCGTGATGTTGGGGGCTCCTGGCTTGCGTGTATTATTGACGTGGGGTTGTGTACCCTGGCAAGCCATCCTCGGGTACACTACCTCACCTCAGCACAGAAGGCGCGATTGCGGCGCTATCACGTGCACATCGCCCCAGAGCTGGTGGAGGATGCAGCACCACAGACCCAGCTGAGTGATGTTTTCCAGATGGGTCTGGTGCTGCATTTCATCGGTCTCTGGGGCGGTGTGCCAGGCGTCTGAGGCGAGACCACCTGATACGGTCATCAACGGCCGTACTCCGGCTTATGTTGGCTGGGGTTGCATACGTCAATTAACTTGCTATTTTAGTTGAACTTTTTGTGGCTGCCAATGCTAAAATTTGAGAAATGTATAAATTATGAGGCATCACAGAGGATGGAAGAGCTTAAAATCTACTCTAACAAGAACTTGGAAATGCCTTGAAGTTTGTAAAGAAACAACATCAGTAGGACTATGACTGATTCTTTTTTGGGGCATGCGATAAAAAAAATGATGTTGTCATCTTGTAAATATTTCTTGTTCCTGTTTTTTTGCTTATATTATTGGAGATAGCATTTGACTTGCACCATTTCCGAAAGCGATCCTTGTCTAGCTGAAAATTCCATGCCAGAAAAAAAAAAAAAACGGGCGTTATAATTTTAGTTGTGGTGAGCTTAAATGTGAATTGCTTTCTCCGATAATTTTTAAATTCATAAGTGCTACAACAACCTCATCTAAATGTTCTACTCTTTCTATGAAACGAAACGAAAAATCGCTTGATTTCCGGTATGCAGTACTCTTGAGGATTGGAGGGGTGGGGAAATTTTCCATTCATTTTGGTGCTTGTGGTTCGGAGATGAGGCTACGTTGTTTGGAAAGGAAACAAAGATTTGAAAATGCCTCTAGGGAGGGGAATGGGTTGACTGCTGCCTTGGCCCCAATCTATTGATTTTCCAAGTGCAAATATTTTGTGAACAGATGATCGCCAAGACTGAGATCGGCAGTTCTTACTGTTTGTGCAAGGTGTTTTAAAAGAAAGAAATGACATTTTTACTCAACAAACAAATGCTTTTTAAAAAGGTGTAAACGGATTGACTTTTCGTAAACATTTTTTTAACTGAGAGGGAAAATAAAAGTAAATTTTAGTCTTGTCTTGGACAATACCCTATCATTTGTAGTGTTGATATACAAAAAGGAAAATGTTTTGCTTAATTATCTTCATTTACTGTTCACAAATTTGAATGTTTTGAAAAACAAGAGTGATAATCTCATTACATTTCGAATGTGAGGTGAAATTTTCTAACATTACACTTTTTCAACATGTAAGCAATTAATGCCTGGGTTAAACCTTAATTTCTCTAAATAAAATGTTGTTAAAATACTTGGTCAAATCAAAGAGTGACTCTTTAAAATTTAACTGAAGTCTTAATCTTCACTTAACTGAATCCCTATTTTATGGGGAAAAAACGTTAAAATAGTAGTATATACAGATATGTTTTACCTGAAAGGCAATAACCGGTTTTTTTTATTACTTGAAAACATCGTTATAAAAATACTGCGTACTTTTGAAATGTCTGTCAATGGATGTATTGTGCATTCACAGTTTATTCGGTAGTACAGGGTTTCTGATCATCATTTAAAAAATGCTCTGAAAAAGTTGGCAAAATAAAACAAATAATCTAATCGCGAGAAGGTTTTGCTGACAGATTGAAAGTAAAGCAATGGGAGCATATGGCATGAACAACGCAACCTTTTGGAGATGTCTTAATAACTGAAAAATAAACTGATTTCTCTGTAAACGTTGCCCGCTGAAGACAGTAACCAGACGATGTGGATCTAATAATTTAACCTTCTATAGAAGATAGGTCAACCAGAGAAAAAAAATGATATTTTCGGGTCAATATGTCTTTTCAAACATGAAATGGCAAGTGTGCATGTGTCATGTTTGTTAAAATAATTTTAAAATTAATAACAGTTGTACACAGTAAAATGTAGCAATTGATTACTTCAGGTAAAAACTCAAATATTAAAACGATTTGTGGAGATGTTCCACTAAGTTGAAATTAAGTGTGATTTAAATAAAATCATTTCCCAGTTAATTTTTTAGGGTGGAACCAGCAAAAGCCACTGAATAAAAATTAATGATTCAAAATATGATAGGATCAGAGGCGATTCTTTGAAACCACCTGCCCCCCCCAACGTTTTTCTCCCAAAGGTTTTTGTGGAGAACTTATAATCAGTATGGGGTCAAGAATACTTTAAATGTAAAAATGTGTGTGAAAAGTGAAAAAAAAGGGGCAAGTTTTCAGTAGAGGCGCTAGTAATCAATAATGACAAAGTCAAGCGTTCTTTAGAGGGCGCTATACTAGTAATTTCAATCTACACGAAACTGCAGAGGGCGCCATTTGATTTATCGAGAGTTTTTCAAAGTATGGCTTCTTGCCAACTTTGCCTTTTAGCTTGGTCGGGCTCCAAAACGTGATAAACAGAGTCCAGCTTCAAAGATTACAGCTTTTTGGTCGGAAAGCCGTTATTTTTAAAAGAGATCTGAAGCTGACCAAAGTGTCGCAAACCTTTGTTTTCTGACTTTCGGCTATTCTTCGAAATGTACCAAACCAACGTAATTATAGTCACCAAAATAAAATCTTGGTAGAGGGCGCTATTATCGATTATCAGTCAATAGAGGGCGCCATTGCTTTTGTCAAAAGAGGGCGCTATTTATTGATCTTGTATGATATGTCGATAGAGGGCGCTGTTATTTTTTTCAATAGAGGGCGTTATATATTTGGCAAGAATGCACGCATATCGCGGTTGACAAGTATACATTGAAGAACGTGAGCTGATAATTTCCAGTTTGCCATTAAATGAAATGAGTTTTTAAGTCGGCTGTCAGCTGTTACGATAAAAAAGCACGGTAAATATCCTGTGTACACAAAATATAGTACGACGCCGTGTTTAAGAAGCTTCTTTTCTGCGGTATTGTTAATGTTACTACTACTAGTAGTTGTAACTGGTTGCTTGTGTCTGAAGAACTAACGTATGAAGTCAAACCACAGTGGTTGTGTTTGTATTGCGCATGTCCAATGTGTATTAGACTCTTGTTGCAGCTGTTCATCGGTATATCAACAGTAAAAACACCGCCAACTTGTGTGAATTGCGGTAGGCAAGCGGTTACAGCATAATGGCTTTTGATGCATGGAGTATGGGTTCGAATCCTGGGTCAAAATTATGGACAGGGAGGGTTTTTTTTAGGAAAATAAAGCCCGAATGTTAAAGGAGCCTAATTTTATGGTTGGTTGAGCATCGGAAATGTCATGTATTGTGCTAACCCCACTAGTGTGGCACGGATCACTCCCGATCTATCCTTAGCCATACATCCGGTATCCGTATACGCAATTTCGTGTCAGCGTATTGAACATTCCGGCGCACCCACTTATCATCGTGGGCGCAATTTCTTTTCCACACGAACATGATTCTTGACCTTTCCGCTTTCTAAAAACCATTTATTGAATGATATCACTCACGTTATTCAGGTGTTTTCCAGTCTTTTTGCCTTTATCCATTCAATCTAACGGGCTCGCTCTCTCAGTCGCCATCTTTAATATAGGGTCGTTGAGCATTACGTCACTTGACCCCTCATCGTCTCGACGGTTGTTCCATGTCAAGACATATGTAATACACAGACTGAGCGATAAGATACTACATGTACCAATGGGCTCCTCCAAAACTTTGGCAGCAGTTTAGTTATCTTGTGTATGGTTGTGAATCGTGGTTTGGCTTCATACGTATTGTTGCATATAAAGCTCGTATTTATTGTCATGAGGGCGGTAAGTCCTTTGCGATTTTACTTGTATGCATGGCTCAAGATTAGAACGTACACATAGTAGTTTTTGGTACAGGTGTGGCTCTGTAACAAATTTATGTGTAAGTCCATAGACCTTAACCTCGAACCCCAGTGTCTGCTTCTCTCGTGGGAGAGAAGCGGTCGTCAGACCCCACAGTTCTGGGGGACATAGACCTAGCTATAGTAGAAAAACAAAATGGACTGCCAACTTCAGCTGCCGCACTCGATCTCGTATCAAATTTGTCAGTACTATAAGCCCAATAGAGGAATAAAAACACACTTGCATGTATTCGTCCATGGTAGGCCTAAGCCTTATAATAATGCTGGTACAGCATTAGCGATTTTGCGCGATGGTAAAAAAGCATTATGGGAAAGAAAAAGGACCAAACATTGCCCCCTTTTCCTTCCTAGAATACCTAAGTAGTACCTTTCTACCATTGTGCAAAATCACTCATGCTGCATCAGCAATAAGGCTTATGAACTGGAAGTGCTGAAGTTACTGGCAGGGTCATTTCACATGAACTCAAGCTCAATTTTCTTTATTTTTTAAGAATGCAGCTATCTGGTATGACCACATGCAAAATTGTTGGCTTCAACTCCAAAGGGTTCCTGAGATAAACCTCCCCAAAATTGGAGCCATGCTCACTATTTTACTCTTGCGAATCACAGAAATTAATTTGGAAGGAATTTGGGAGGCCAGTTTCTCAAAAATGAATAAGAATTACAAATTGCATGTTAGTACCTATGGGGTGATTTGAAGTTGAACCAAGGCATTTGGAATCTGCCATCAAAAGTAATCTCTTGCATGGTCTGAGTTGGACTCTACAAATCGCTTTTTTTGATATTTGGACATAGTGAGGTGATAGTAGGGTCCAAGTACCTCCCATAGGCTTTCCATCCCATTCATTCCTTTCACTCAAAATAATTCGTACCCCGTACCAAAATCCTCCGAATTCATCTGCAAAATGGTCGTTCTAAAGACTCTCTAATGTGCCCAGCTTAGGATCAAGTGAAAGATTCCAGGAATGATGATAAGGAATGATAAATGATGAAATGAATTAATGTGAAGGAAAGCCTATTGAAGGTACTTGGACTCTACTACATGTGTATTAAAAATTGTAGATTTGTAGAGTCCAAGTTACTCAGACCATCTCTTGCATACTTTCAGAGTTATTGCCTCCTGAATTTTGAAATTATTTATCGGTGGAAATAAAAAAATTCAATTTTTGAGGATACCCTGTGAGCCCAAGATTTTGTTCAGGGACTTACGATATTCTATCCTTGTTACTTGGACAAAGGTCTGTCTGCCTAAGGAAAATAACCACACATGAGTTTAATGTTGGAATTAAAAGCCTTTGAAAAGTGTCCCAGTTGAAGAAAGTCAACATTTACCCCAATTTTTGGCTGGCAAGCTCACCATGTGGGCAATTACCCATGGGCACTAAGTTTTTGCCACATAAATGTTCATATCTTGCCTTTATAATCATTTTGAAGTTGGTTTTCAACCCCCAGGCCTGTTTAATGACTTTGTCAAATGTACTGTAGTCATTTTTTGCTGGTACAGCCAACTCACACTGTACATGTTTCTTACGTTCATGTACTATTCACAATGTCCATATCTCATACATACCGTACTATGCTGAGTTAAATACTTGACCCTTAGTAAAGGGGTGAACAGATTTTTTTTTACAGCAATTCCAAAGGGAAGTCCAGTTGTTAGCATGGCCTATACATTTACATGTACATGTACATACAGTGCAAATATGCACGCATGTACCTACATGTATCTTATTACATGTATGCTGAGTCACATGTACACCTAGGAAAAGAGATTACATTATTGGTATGTACAGAAATGCAAAATGTAAGTTCATGTCACGTCTTTTCTTAATTCTTCAATGGGACAACATAAGCTGCCAGAACTCCAAAAGTGTGTACAGTACATGTACATTTCAGATAAGATTCCCAGGAGCCCCATTTCTTTAGTAATGGCTTCACTCAACCAAGCAGTTCAATTAACTAGATACACATTGCTTCGTCATGTGTGTCTAGTTTCAAGACACAAAGCTACTTGTAAAACACTCTTTGGAATCTTGGCATTTATCACCGTTTGAGACTAAAAAGAATGTGACTGTATTTACATAT